AAGATTATGGGGGTTGCCGGCCTCCAATTTGCCTATTATCGAGTCTTGGGTTCGTCGGTCGGGGGTCTTGGAGAATGGCAACCCCGGAGCCACCGTGAGGTGGGGCGTCTCCCCGGCAGGTTCTCTTCTCCAAGAATTCTCCCAATCCAAGTCATGGCACCAATTTGTTATAATTTGTGGTGAGGAACCAATCACCAACAAGTGAGTCCAAATGAAATGTAATTTATTAATTGACAGTGCAAGCAATAATAGGCAAATTACAGCGCTGGGTGCAGCCGGGCAGTCTCCGCTCCACCAACGGCTCGCACCCACCTGGCGGTTCAGGCCTCTCTTTGATCTGTCGTGGTTGCGTATTTTCCGGTGTTTTCTGCGTCTGCGCCGATAGTTGCTAGGGGGTCTTTTTCTGCCTTTTGGTGGTCGTTTGGAGGAAGGCTCCTGTCCCCTCTCTCAGAGTTTTGATGACCCTGCAATAGCCTTTACCATATATAGGCGTGTGGCTGCATGCATATTGCATATTCAGCTTTTCAACGTTAGCTTTTGCAACATATTAGCCTTATGACATTTTGCAACATATTAGCCCGTTATATTTATCTTTTGGTTTTTCATCAGCTTCCCTTTTTTTTTTTTTAATAGACTTGAGCAGCTGCGCTGAGCAGCCCCAGCACGGGCAGGGCCCACTCCTGCCCCGCCGGGCAGTGCCCACGGCCACAGCCCACGCCAGCCTCAGCCCCAGCCTGCCTCCCCGGGCCTGTGGCCTCAGCCGGGCTCTCTCCAGCTGGCAGCAGCAGGTCCCCGTTCACTGCTCTTGCTGCCGGCCTTCAGCTCCTCCCTGCTGGCTCCCGTCAGTCTCCGTCTGTCCTCAAGGTCTTCCTTGCAGCTGTGGCAAAAGTGGAGGCTCTGGAATTGCTTCCAAGGCCTGGCACAGCTGCAGTCCCGGAGCCCTCTGGCCTGCTGGCCCCCTCCATCCCCTCAGCCCCGCCATGCTCTTGGTGAAGCCCCAGCCCCCTTCAGTTTCTTCAGCCCCTCACAGTCCCTCTCACCCCCCTCAGTCCCTTCTGAGCCATCCCGTCCCCTGAGACCCGCCAGCCCCTCAGCCTGTGCCACTTCCCTGTCACCTCAGTGCCACCATGGCCCTCGGCTGCCCCACAGCCCTCAGCCCCAGCAGCAGCTCAGGGTCACCGTCCCTTCGGCGCCACCGCCCCCTCAGCCCCCTCAGCCCCCTCTGTCTCACCGTCCTCCAGCAGCTCCTCAGGGGACAGTGCCTGGGGCCAGCGGCAGCTCCCTCTGCTCCAGGGACAGCCGGGGCTGGAAGTGCTGCTCCACCCGGCCCGGCCGCCAGCTGGGACCCAGCACAGGGACAGGGGACACAGGGGGCACCGGGGGAAAAGCAAGAGGTGAAAAAGGCAGCCGAGGGGGGAAAGAGCTAAAAATGCAGCCTAGGCCTACACAAACAGCAATCTATCCATCAATCTCTCCATCTAAACATTCCTATTCCTCTTACTCTATAACTATACACATTCATAAATGTAACGTCATACATATATATTTTTACTCTACACATATAAAAATCTAACTCTGAAAATCTATAAATGTAAATAAATAATAAAATATAAGTATATCACATCTATAACTATATACATATCCACATTTAACTATACAGATCTATCAATATATATCCATATAAATAGAACACTATCATCTATAAATGGAACTATAACCACTCATAAATAGAACCACAGAAATCTATAAACATATCTACAAACAGAGTTCTACCTGCCCAATGGCCACAGGCTCTCCCCTGTCTCTTCCTGCCATGCAGGGCAGCCCTCCTGGAGATGTTGCTCAGATGGCATCTGGGAAGCAAAGGGAACGCTCAGTCAATATTGGCCCTTGTGCACCTTTCCCTTGGGCAGCAACTGTCCTTCTACCAGGGGCTGTCAAAGATGGCCTGAAAGGCAGACTCTCACTTGACAATTTGAAGCAATCTGCCCTGAAAAGAACAGGGAACATTCCAAGTGTTCAAAAGTGTGTTTCAAAACACTGAAGTATCTTGATAAAGTCTCAGCCTCCGCAGTGCAAAGGGCACCCAGGAGAGCTTGAAACACAGACAATCCCAGCTGCCACAAGGAAGCCCAGCCTTGTTCTTTCTCTGTGCTGACAGAGAGACCTCAGTCCTCGCTGAAATGGCTGAAGCTGAAGGTGTTGGGAGCTGAGTGAATGAACCAGCTCCATTACCTGGCATCTACAAACTGCCCTCTGCAGTGAGCAGCAGCTGCTCCACCTCGACCATCAGCTCTGGCAGGAAGGGCTGGGAGGGACAGAGCTCCCTACGAGGCCTGCAGGCTGCACCAGCTTGGCTAAGGAATGGATCCAAAGTGCTCCTTCTCTCCTTTTAGGTCTCACTAATCAGGGGTCATTCAAGCTTTTCCTTTTGATACTGGAGTTACTGTGATTTTTCAGTTGGTTGGCCTCTGCTGTTGTGCTCCTTGTTTTTCTTGTGGGTCAGGACCAATACCAGCAGACTGGTATTACATTTAGTAAGTGATTTGGACTTCTACCCTGACTTTTTGCTCTTTTTTTCCCCCTGCTCCTTCAAGAGTCGCTCAGCCTGGCCTCTCCTGGCACCCTGCAGCAAATTTATCCACCAACTTCAGCACAAAACTGGGACATCCGGCTTGGTGACACAAGTACCACAAGGTCAGGTTTTATTCCCTGCTCTCTTGCCCCAGCAGAGGACTCAGTGTCAGAGTCTCTGGAGAAGCGTGGAGGGCAGGGCTCAGGCAGGTTGTGCCCGTGCAGGATTTGAACTCAAGGCACCAGGAAGCACCAAGCCTGCAGACAGGAACTCAACTCTTCTTGCTGCCAGAGGCAGGCTCAGAGCAGCCATCTCACACCTCTCTAAACCAATGGGGGCTCTGTCCTTACCAAGCTCCTCGGGCTCCTGGGAATTGTTCTGCAGCTCTCGGTGCCAGGCAAAGCTCCCTCTGCTGCAGCTCTGTCCACAGGCTCCCCTCCTGAAGACTCAGGGCCAACACCAACATTGTCCTGAGCAGAAAAACAGAAAGAAAGGAACCCAAAGATCACTCACTATTTTGCTGGAATCGTATCAGGGATACAATAACTCTCCTTCTCCACTCCCAAAGGACACGGAGCACAGAGGAGGGAACACTGCCCCCACGGTCACATGACAAGCCTTTTTTAAACTCAGGATTCAGGAGGCCAAGGTGAAACTGAAGCTCTTACAAAATGACCTTTGAGACAAAACATGAACACAGAAAACCAGAAGACACCAAGTGGGGGGACGTGCCCCCACGCTCTGACCCTGCCTTACCCCAGAGCTGGGAGAAATCAGCCAGCGCAAAGCCAGGGGCTCTCCTTGCAGCCAGCACGGCTGCCAGCAAGGGCAGAGCTCGCTCCCAGCCCTGCCCAGGGCTGTGTGCTGCAAACCCACAGGCAAAGCACACATTTCTGCCTGGGAGTCTCAGCACCCCCAGCCAACTGCTCACACAACCCATCACAAGGTGCTGCTTCTCAGAGCCCTCTGCTGCTGCCCCACGTGTGTGATCCAGGCAAACATTTATGCACCCAGGGTATTTCCAGGATCACATTTGTGATCACTGGCAAAAATCTGTAAATCGGGAGGGTAGGGAAAAAGACAGGAAAAGCCAGACAACCAAGTAGTGTTTCTATTCCACTGAGGAAGTAAATGTCCACAATGAAGCAAATTACCTTTGGACACAAAGATATTCTCACTATGACCAGTTCCAGAATATTCATCTCTTCTGCCATAGCCCGTCCATCAGAACCCTAAAGATTCTAAAGATGGTTCTGAGCCTGCAATGTTTCCTTTTATTATGGAATAAAATGCTTCCCTAAACTGCTATGTGTGACTTTACAGAAGACAAAAGTCATGCCACTTGAGAATAAGGTATTGGTAAATCCAAAAAATCCCACTCCCCCCCCTTGAGTCATAATCACAAATGTACTGCAGGCGATGGGTCAGCACATCAACAGAAAGAGAGACATTCTTTGGCCAACATGTGTAATAATCTGCAAAAGGACAGAGAGCTGCAGCTCCAGCCCAGCCCCAGCCACGGCTCTGGGAGCACCTACACGCACGGCAGGGTTCACACAGCAGCAGCAGCTGCAGCCCAGCCCTTGCTTTGCCTTGGCCTTCCCACCCAAAAGAGGCACAGCCCGCATCTGCTGCTGCAACAGAGGCACCTCTGGCATGCCCCTCCCTGCACGGGACACTTGGCCTTCAGTGCCACTTCTCCAAACACTCTTCTCCTCTTTCCCAGCAAGTAAAACCTCTTCTTCATTTCTTCTTCATCCCCTCTTTCAGAAACCTTTCTTTACCAAGAATAATTCAATAACTAAATAATAATGAAATAAGTTCAATTAAAGAAGCCTTTGCTTCTCAGCCGTGTAACAAGGTTCAAAAGCTCTCAGTCCAGCCCCTTTTATCCCCATCCAATGAAATTACCTGAGCAGAGGGAAATCTTTCAGACAGGGACCTCCTGTTCTCCCGAATCATTTTCTCTACGGCAAGGCCCAGATCTGCTGGTGGCCATTCCTCCTCCCCAGCTGTGTTCTGTGCTGAGCTGGAGGCCGTCCACGCTGCACAGGCTGCACTGCCGGCGGGAGCACCGGGCCCTGAAGTGCCCGGGGTGGCTGCAAGAATCCAAACGCACTGGTCAGGCTCCCCAACGTGGCTGTGGGACACAGAGCTCTAGAGCTGCTGTGGATCAAACATCATGGGAAGCACACAGGGAAACCAGGCAGAGAATCTTTTGGCGTCCTAGGTGCCCCTTCCTGGTAGGCTTGACAACTTCTGGCAGAGAATGACAGAGCCTTGCGGCGAAATACTTCAAACGGTCATTTTTCACGACCTTTTGGAAAAACAAGGCTCCAACTCTTTTCCAACCTCGTGCCTCGTAGGCTGGGGGCTGCTGCTCCCCGTGGAGCTGCTGGAAGCTGCAGGGCTGGAGCCCGAGCACCTCCCGCTCGGCCGGAGGCAGCTGCTCTCCGCAGAGCTCCTGCCAGCGGCTGCGGGGCCCCTCCCGCCCAAGCGGCAGCGGCCGCTCCCCGTGGAGCCCGAGGAAGTGGCAGGGCGGGATGCCGAGCACCTCCCGCTCGGCGGGCGGCGGCCGCTCCCCGTAGAGCTCCTGGAAGCGGCTCGGCCCCTCCCGCCCAGCCGGCAGCGGCCGCTCCCTGTGCAGCAGGTGGAAGCCGCAGGGCGGGCGCCGGGCGAGCAGCGGCCGCTCCCCGGGGGGCTGCTGGTGGCGGCCGGGCCGGGGCCTGCACAGCTCCCGCCCGTCCGGCAGCGCCCGCTCCCTGTGCAGCAGGAGGAAGCCGCTCGGCGGGCGCCCGGCCGGCAGCGGCGGCCGCTCCCGCCGCCGGCCGCTGCCTGTTGGCCGCGCTCCGGCGCTTGATGTGGAGCAGGAGGTCGGAGCGGTCGCGGCGAAAGCAGGGGTTGCTGTAGTGGAGCCAGGCCCCGGCATCGCCCGGCGCAGCCGAGCCGAGCCAGCCCGGCACCTTGCGGAAGCCGTAGAGGTTGAGCTGCCGCACGAAGCTGCGGAACTGCGTGGCCCTCAAGGTGTGCAGCACCGGGGCCGGCCCATCGCCCCTGTGGGCGTGGCCCGAGCTGAGCAGATCCCGCTGGAAGAGGGAGCGGTTGATGAACAGCCCCTGGGCACGGCTGTCCCAGCGCACGGAGCGGACGCGGGGGCTGTTCACCAGGCGCCACAGCTTGGCGGGGAAGGTGCCGGCGCTGAGCCCGGCGGGCAGCGGCAGCTCCGCCATGGCGTCGATCGCCGACTGTGGCCACAGCGCCCGCAGCGCAACGGCCGCGGCTGCGCCGGAGGCGCGCGGCCTGAGGGGGGCGCTGCGCTCGGGCCCGCGCGCGCGCCCAGCGCGGCCCCGGCGCGGGCCGGACTTGGCGGGGACGAGCGCGGCAGAGCCGGGGCTGCGGGCACAGCGCGGGCGGGGCGGCTCCGGGGCTGGCCGGGCTCGGCTCGGCAGGGCCAGGTGCGAGCCCCCTCTTTCTCTGGCTGTAGCCATCCTTCTGCGTTGGCTTTGCGGCACAACCCCGAACCAGCAAGACGAGCGCTGGAACTTTCAGAAAGGTCTAAATTGAAGAATCCCATCGGAAAGTCTTGCCCTTTGTCCAGTGAAGGCAAAATCACTCGTTATTTCTGCGTGCCTGAAGGGATGGAAAAGATGATAGAAAGAGTAACTTCAGTATTTTAGTTGGGGTTGCAAACAGAGTTCCCCACTTTAAAGTAGAAAGGTTAAATCGGAGAAGGGGAAATGGTGAAGAGAATTGACATTCTTTTTGCCCCTTTTTCCGCCAACTGGTTCTTTCTCGTGGTCCCCACCTGTCTTCAGCAGATTTAGCAGATTTTTGATTCTTTGAAGATAGAAAAAGCCACAGGAAGGGGCAGCTAATTTGTCAACATTTTCATCAAACCTAACATCGTGTCCCTGGAAGGATGTTGCTTTACGCAAGAGATTAATTGCCTGCAGTTAAAGTGAACTCATGCTGGTGTTTTCACCAAGTGGTTTTACATTTTTCTTTCCTCAGTAAAAATTTCTTTTTTTTTTCCCAATCAGGGGAGACTTACAACGCAAAATCCCTTCTGCAGCCAAGTCTTTTCAATGTAACCTAACAAAGGTGGTCTTGTAATGATCTGTGCTTAGTGTCACTTTATTCTTTTTATTTTAAATTCTCTCTCTATCTAGAAACAGTTTTCATAGCAGGAAAAAAATAGACCTTTCATCTAATTTAGTTTATGCCCTTTTTAAGGGGCACTGGGGGGGGGGCACTGGGGCTTTTAAAAATGTCTTTACATCATTTAACCTTGAGGGCTCAGCCCTGTCACTTCAGTCACTGCCCTGAGGATGACATGCTGACACAGGGATTGTTGGTCTCATCACATTCTGGAGTAGTTTTTTACACTGATTGTTTTAAAGATGCTCTGTCATCTCTGTGTGCTGGCTTTCTCAGAAAAATTGAAACCCACTACCTAGAAAATGTCTTCCCAATTCATCTGAAATAGCTTAAAACAGACTCTGAATTTTGAATGATCCACCTCAGTGGGATGTGGTTTGTCTGTCTTTAAACACAGGGTAACAACCTTCACAAAAATTATCCCAGCAACTGAATTACAGCACAATTTCTAATGAATAGGCAAAAAGGAGAAGACAGGAGTTCAGAAAAGAAGGGATATCTTTCTTCATGTTTCATGGCCCTTATTTCCCACGTGTCCGTCTATGTGGTGCTTCATCAAGAAAGGCCTCATTTTGAAGACCTCCTTTGTAATCTCTGTGGCTCATGAGAAGTACATGAATACTAGCCCTGTGCCCTACTAGTGGCTGAAAAGTGGATTGTCCATTGGAATCTCGAGTCACACATGTAGTATACTTATGGTTACATTGACTTCTCCACAGTACTCTGTGGCTAAGAATGAGAAGTTACCCTTAGCTGTGTTTTAAGGATACTGAAACTTAAAAAGAAATTTGCTTATCTTGTGTCTGGCAGCATGATTCTTCCCCGTGACTCTTTTATGTGGTACTGTTAGAATTTAATGTCAGTTACAAACATCACAAGGTAAATGATGGACGCCACATTTCAGTGTTTGGGCCAAAAATTGGTTTAAAAATTAACAATACAAAAGGTTGTTAATTTTCAGGAAAGAAAAGTCCTTAAAACTGTGGTATATGGTTTTAGATTAAGATTTTTTTCTAAAAATGACTTCTTTCCCCTTTAAAAATAATTTGTAACGAACATAACTCAATGTACAGGCCTGATCATTTCAAGTATTATTTTTCCATATCTTTTCTTTTTCCCTATATGACACTGTAACTTTTGAATCACAGTTTTTACCACTTTGAAAATGCAATTTTAGTGTTTTTCCTACTGGTGAATATTTATCAGTTCCAAGTTAAAGAACAGACAGTTCTGAAAGTGAAATATGTTTTATGTAAGTATTTTTTTCACTAGTCTCCTGGTATTACATTCAACAGGGGCAACATTGAAACAGTCTATACAGACTTCTTTTTGAGAAGCTGTTAGAAATTATTAATATTTTCAGTATATCTGCCATAAATTAGTGTGTGTTTCAGCTGAAACTCTCCTCTGGGCTCTACTGCTAGCATGTAAGATCTCCTTGCACTGCAGAAAGACACAATTTTCACTTTCTGATTTGTACACAGCTATGTCACTGCCTTCACCTTTTCATCTCACATGCTTGGACAAATTTTCCTCCCGTGACAGCAGTATCCCTTAAGGTGATGTAGGTGTGGTGGGCATGCAGCACCCAAACACTTCCTGATCTTCTGGGAGCTGGTCCTGAATCCATCCTTTCCTGTTTATTTCTACACTATACTGAATCATGATTTTAAAAGGGTTAAGATTTTAGCTGAGGCTTAGAACCAATTCGTATTGAAGTTAGATACACCAACAATAGGTTAATGATTATTAGATGCTTAAGCTAAAGCTAATTGTTTTATTATGAGCTCATTTGTAGAAGGAAGTGGAGCAAGCGAACCATTCTAGGAACATACTGAAACCAGTAGAACAATGCCCAGCACCTGGACTCTGTGTCAATCCATCACGAAGCAGGGGGCCTTGGATCAAGCCAGAGGGTCACAGAGACCTGATGGATGTTCCTGACTTCATCCATGGGACCACTGACCCAATTCAAGAGAAGAATTGTGCACACGTGAAAGACTAATAACCTCATTTTAATACAAAGCAGGGATGGGAGGTGCTATTATTGTATTATTTTGGGAAATAAACAGAAGGCAAATCCTTGTATGGCGCGGTCACGCATTTTGGGAATGACTACCCCTGTGCCACCCGCCAGCGTAATGAACATACCATGTTCTAACTTTGACTAATTAGAGAGTCTTTGTCCATGATTCTCGGTTTTAACTTGTGGCAAAGGGTGTTCCTGCCAATGTTTTAGGTTACCTGGTCTAACCACAGCACCATGAATAGTAAAAGCCGAAGAAATAAATGTATATTTTTCTGACCAATTTATCTGTATTTGGACTTACATGGGTGATAAAAGTGAAAAATTCCTGGCAAACAGATTCCTGGGAAACAAGTAATAAGTCATTGGATTTAGTTTATATTTCTTGAATTTCTTGTCTACAGAATGGGAAAGAGAATCTTGATCATTTTCTTCCTTCTTACAGTGTGGTCTTAACCCACTATAGGAACACCTCGACTCCAAATTTTACTTTTACATAACTAAAAATATTTGCATAGGAGGTAGAATCCCTCAGTCAAAGGCAGTCTTCCTGAAACACCAGGTACAGAATACCCATGCTTTTGACTCCAGTGAATTCAAAACACTGAAACCAGCACTTAGGGAACCACCTTAGTCTCGACTTTAGAGTGTAACAAGAGGGAACATAAAGTCTTTTATACAAAAAACAAAACTGCAAAGCAAAAAGCCATGGTAACTGCTTTGAAAATGCACCTCAGTTTTGGGATGAACTCAGTGTGAAATGGTTCTTTGCTGAACTTCACAAGCAACTTCTGCCTCTTTCTCTGCTTCCTCACTTGGGTTTGTGCAAACACCACTTCAGGCTGGTCTGTGCTGCTCCCCCCTGACTAAAATCTCTCTGTACATTCCCCAGCCTCAGCTGAATATCTCCAGGAACTGTTTTGTGTGACAACTGCACAGGTCTTGGTACACCTGAGGTTCTGATGCCCTGGTTTGAGTCACCCTGTCTGCTGCACATGCTGCTCAAGTCTGCCAGGATTGTTATCCTCCCTCAAGTGATCTGAGCTGGTGGAAGCGTGTCAGGGACATTTAAGAGCCCAGGTAGCTCAAGTGGAAGAAATTCTCATCATCTGTGCCTATTCAGGCCATCTGTGACTCTGCCAAGGAGAAGTGGCATTTGTTGCTTGGGAGCTCCAGGAGGACTAAAGATCATGATGAAATATTCTGGTGAGGACTGTGGCAAAGGAACAAAACTGGGATTAGGGGGAGTTTTCAGTAATAATCACATCTTGTTCTGGCTGCTGTCACAGGTAGTTTAGTCACTGCCTGGAGCGGTGGCCGGTGGAAAGTGAAACGCCCAGGCTAGATAAGTGTCCAGCCAAACTCCAGCCAGTCAGGCACTTCCCCAACCCGAAGTCAGGGCCTTGTGCCCAAGGCGATGTCAAGCCTTGCGGACGTGTGGCCGCAGTAGAGAGCTCCGAAGTCGCAGGATGAAATGAAGAGGCGACCCTCAGTTTCTTCGGGGGGCGGTTTTATTGGTAGGGAAACGTGGAGGTTCAGGTAGAAGGAGCTGAGGGCCCCGAGGCAGGGAAAGCCTCGGGTTTTACAGAGGATGGGAGGGGTGAAAGATAGCAAATCAGAGAGGGATACATTAAGGATTGGCATAATCAGAGAACCCATCAAACACAGTTGCGGGAGGGACCCTGGCCCCTAACCCAATCACTCGACACCCTGGCCCGAACTCTCTAGAAAAAGAGGCAGGGGTGTCAAGTGACAGGCAGGCTGCCAGGGGTGGGGAACAAGAAAGATAACCAAGACAGCTGGGGAGGGGTTTGGGGATTGACACAAACTGGTAACAGGGCAGGACCTTCTGAGAGAACAGTGGGGGGAAAACTGAACAAGCATAAAACGCACCACAACATCTCCCCCTTTTTCGTTTAAAAACAAAAGAACTGTAAGGGCAAACACCATTCAAAATGAAGTTTCAGCCTGCTCCACGTCGCTAGAAACCGAGCTGGAGTCTTCAGGATCGGAGTTCTGCGACGAAGCGGTGTCAACTCTTTCTCCTTCTTCTTCTGAGACTTCGCTCGGCTGACGTCTGGGACATTGATGGTCCTGGATATAAGTCTCTTTACGAGTCCCCAGACTACGGAGCAGGTGATCAAAACAATAAGTAAAACTAAAAGGGTGGAAAGTATAGTTTTCAGGATGGACTCAGCCCAGCTTGACAGGCCCCATCCTTGAAAGCGGTCCCCCAACCAGTCTGATGTCTGTTGTTTTATTTGGTGGACAAGGCCTTGCATTTTATCTATGGCCACCCTCGCA